AAAGGTGAGGAATGATTCCACAACGGTTGCTAAAACGAAGTCAAACCAAAACTACCACTGAAGGAGACTGCGACCAAACATAAGGCCACATCATCTTGGTCTTCATATCTACGAAGCATATTTGTATTTGCCATTACATCCGACATTTATGGCATTGTGGTGTAGCGGTTACATGTTGATAATAAGCGCTATTAATTTTAGTTTGTATGCCGTTGAAGGTGCTAATGAGGCCTTTACGGAGTCGTAACTTCGGTCAGCTTTAGGGGGACATTTCGTTTGGGAGAAATGACTTAATAAAATTTGATGGTATAATGCGGCCTACTCGTCTCAATGTGGGCAAATTCATTTTCCGTCCTTCATCACGATAAACAACCTAGTGTGATTACAGTTCCTATTCATAATCTAATTTTTGAAGGTAGGAAGACCAAGATTGTATGGCCTTTAGTACTGTTGCGGTCCCCTTTAGTTGTATAGGAGTTGTTTGACCTTGTTTTCGCAACCACGTCATATTGTCAGATACCTAGATGAATGCACCTTATTCGGAGGCCATAGTATTCATGATTATTTCCCGTGTCGGACCGTGGATTTGGTACATTTCCAGACATTTTACCGGCATCTCTCGCCGCGTGAGAGATTCAGTGGGGACCAGAGACAGTTGTCTAATAGTACATTGGTTTGTGCATGGACGTGGTCCGTAAAGTAAAGACCTAGCCACGAGATTTACTTGATGCACATGTCGAATCTGGAGCTTTAAGATAGTTTACATGCAGCCTCAACGAGGCTGTAGGATACGTGCTATATAAGCGTCGGGACGGAGTTTACAACATAGCGTCTCGATTAACATGGATATGATGGCAGTGATCGAGTGAAGTCACTGAACCAGGCAGATAAGAGACGGATCCTACAGGACGAGAGGGAGACTCTGATAGCACCTGAATAAAGAGGATTGCGGACTAATAGAGCAGACTTAGATCAGCACTCAGTTTTGGGATGGTGATGGAACCAGCAGAGAGTGTAAATAGGTCTTACTTAATCTGCTCAAACGTGCAAATCTGAACTGCGTGTAAATATACAAGTAAGAAATTGTGATAGTGAATGATTGATACGA